TATAAATTGTCATTTCTCTCCAAATGGACCACAATATAATATTTCCTTCAGAAATGCATTTATTATTTAACACTTTTCTGTGAAAGGTTTCTTTTACATTGCAAATGCTCAGGGTTCTTTCATAGGGCTTAGACTATTGACCCTTTACCTTAAAACATACTATTAATGCTTAACGCTGTTATTAGCATTCAGGGAAGTAATGATTGGTACTAAAATGGACATGTGCAGTAAAAACACCTTCTATTTTGTAAAATAATTATGTAGCCTAATAATTATTTCATATGATTCTTTTTGATTGATAGGGAAAGGGCACCAAGAAGTTTGAAATCATGATTCTTTAAGGTCTCTATTCAAATCACAGCCACCAACACCACTGTTTCCGACAGTTACATTTTAGAAGCATGGCAACAGGATGATCCCTGGTTCTGTTTGGATGAGGGTTACATCAGATAAGGTATTCTTAATTAGCTTTTTTTCCTTAATGGCAAGAAATTATAATTCTATAAAGGGCAATGCAGCATTCTTGCAATTTCCAATTAAGTCATTGGTACCCTAGAGGTCAAATATAGTTCAAGTCTGCAGCGAAGTGAGACTACCTCCTTCTACTCTGCTGTCATCACACCTGACCCCAACCTGGTAAAAGCATCCCCAGTGGTGCCAAAGAGGCCTTTCCATCCTCTGTGTACTAGCTGCATTGGTCTTTCACATTTAAGACTGCCAGATAAATGTCAAATTGCAATGTTCTTATGATGTTTAATGGGAACCAGACTGAAAGTGCTTGAACTTGTTTCATTTTGGAGAAGTTTTTGTCACTTTGGCTTAGATGGAAAAACAAGGTTTTGTTCAATAATGTACATAAATGAAGCAAATTCACTGAGCTGCACTTTCTTAGCTGATCTGCTGCTTGCTAAAAACTGGAAAACCTATCTAGCTGCATGTGTCAGTGTGTAGTACTGAAACAGCTACAAGATTATTGTTAATGTTTTACAAAGATGGCTAGTTCTAGTGCTATTCTTTTTTGAGTGCATAATGTTAGAAACTTCTATAGCTGTTTTCATCACAGGTTTTCAGACTGAGACAGCTATAGGTAGGTGTCCGCATGCATGTAGGACTACTTTAAACCATTTTTTGCTGGGCCTGTTTTGTTGCCCATTTTTCCTTCAAATGCTGTATTGAAAATAATACATTTAAACCAGGTTTACTATTCATGATACTAGAACAGTGGATTGCAAATAAAAGACAAATTGCAGCTGTGAATAAGTAAGTAGTATACATGTACACAGATAAATTAGTTGTGAACAACTTTAAACAAGTGTTAACATGAATTTGGAAGAAGGACTGAGAAGTCTCTCTCATCATAATGATGAAGACGAGGGTTGCAACCTCTTTCCCTCTACCTTTACCAGCAGAGATTCCTACGCAGGGAGAGAACGGAGCCAACACCCACCATCACTAAGAATCGTGATCATCACTCAGTTAACCTGTGAGCCATTCAATATTAAAGTGATAACTGCCACAATAAAACTTCAAGGCCTGATTTAGAGTTGTGGAGAGGAAAGAAGGGGATGATCCTGCCAATCCTACTCAGCTGCAAATGCTCTGGGTGGAGCACAACTGCTCTCCTGGATCCCTAGTTCCATTCCTACATGACTACTGAAAGACATCAGAAGTGCCAATAAAAGCAATAAAACACCAGCAGGATCAGCAGTAGGAGCAGCAGCTGGCCAGATACAAGAAAGGAAATAAAATGTACCATCTGAGGGTAATCAAGGGATTAGCTATGACTCATGAGTCACTCCTCCTTTCTGGACAGGCTCCTGCTTTGATCTAGCTACATATGGCCCTTTGCTCTGGTTCTGTGCTAGAAAGAGCAGAAAGAGAAACTCAGGAAGTAAGAGCTAAGTAGAAGCAGTAGGTGTGAGGTATTTGGAGCTATTTATATATTAACTACTTTGGGACAATTAGCTGGATTCAGAATTACATGTTTTACTGCATAATTAAAATTCAAGTAAGCATTTACTTTTGTAGAAAAGGTTACAAAATTAACAAAGAACGTCAGTCATCTACCTAAGACATTACCAGTGACACTAGGAAGAGAGATGGGAGACAGGGATTAAGGAAATTTCAAATGTTTAAGGAATATTTTGTCACATTTCTCTTAGTCATGTTGCAGTATGTAATGAAAACTTGAACTGCCTTATTTCAAGGCTGCATTTTTCTGTTGTAACTTCTGTCAGTTGTAATCATCTTGAGTTTCAAGCTACAGGAAAAACCTTTTAGCTGTTATAAATGTCTTGCAGACCACAAATGAATAAGTTTCTAGGCTTCTATCATACAAGCTAAAAAAATCTCAGGTTTCTCAATAGGAAAAGTATTTTTGAGATCTCAAATAATTTCTGTCAGAATCCTCTTAAATGTTTTCTTGTTGGACTTCAGTTTGTTGGGTTTAAGTTGCTACCCTTTTTCAGTACATCAGTACCCTTTCTTGTACATCCAAGAATCTCATCATCTTGTACTAACTCTTGTGTTCAATTATAACTACCATGACTATCTTGGGGGGGGGGGGTTCAGAAGTTCTCCTTTCTCCAAGCTTCTAAATGTAATTTACATTCTCAGTCCTAGATGCATGACTCCGCGTTTACATTTAGGTGTGATAATAAGATGTAATCAGTACATAACACTAACCTATTTCTATTGTTATCTACAAATTAGCACCTGCAACTTCTATTTGGAGGTTTATATTTTCTACAAAATAGTAACTTTGGACTATACGCAGATCCGTGTGGAACCATATTAAAAACACCCCAGTGAATGTTGATTTCTCATTTAGAAACAGATTTTTAGATTTAGATCAAATAATGATTTATTTAGATCAAATTTAGATTTAGATCAAATAATGAATCTTAAATGTGTTTGGTAGGGACTACATTGATTTTCGTATTACACTAATTTTGCAAGCAGCATTGAATCTGTCACAAAATCTTCATTCTTTCAGTGGAATTACTTTTACCTGTTGATATCAATTCTAAAGTGTTTAATGACATTACAAGTCTGCCCTGTCAGTGTTATGGTTTCAGTTGGACCTAAAACTAGTTGACGAATATGTAGGAGTCTCTTTTCAGTGCTATCACACACATTACAACTCCTCCTACAGATTATGCAATGATACAAACGTACATTCCAATAACAACAGTATAGACATGTGGTTTCGTATATGCCAAATACACAGAGAGCCTATATATAGAGGGTATATATTTAGCTTCTAATTCTATCACACTGTGAATGCAATGCCAGAGGGAATAATTAAGGGGCAAGACTGGTTGACCTAGACATTGGTTGACCCGCCCGACAGGCTTTCACGATGAATTCTGTGGTCTGCTAAAGAAGAAAGCCTCACAAAGTGTCTTTAAAGCAGCCATGGAAAACAAGATGAGGATCCCCTAGAGACCCTGTGATGGTGTAAGTCTGTCAGAGATGGTCAGCTACCTTCCACCACAAAGCATTTCCTGCCCCCAGCATAAGAGGACAGTCATAAAGTCATACGGAAAGCAGAGTGAGAACTGAATGTAGTGAACTTCATTGCCTTAGATCTTTCCTCAGCAAAAGTAGACTTTTCCATCTATAACCAGAACCATGTGAATTCTGAATCTTCAAACCCTTGTGGTTTCCCACTTTGTTCTGTGGCTTTGACATACTAGGAAAATGTGGCTTGATGGCCTTATTATCCAAATGATAAAGCCATCACAAGCAACAATCTGTCAAACTTCTACTAATCTAATTAATGTATCACTGACCTGTTTTCAAAGTGCTTATCAGCCAGCACTCAGTCCAAACAAGAGGACTGCTACCAGTAGAATTTGGTCTCTCCAATTAATTTGTTCCCGAGTCCCTATGCTGAATCTGCATCAAAATACTGAGATGGCATTGAGGGTTGATAATAGGGCTTGTATGGAAAGTACTTGTTTCACATGGGCTACTGACAAGTCATCAGATACCAATAACTTCAGTTTGGTGATTGATATAGTCAGAATGGGATCTCCAAATCTTCTGCAGAGATGAAAGTTACTGTGACAATTCATCAGGCACCTTCTCTTTACCGTTAGAAAACGTAAAACAGTAAGTTTGCAGCAAAGATGTTCATTACTAGACCCCAGCTGGAGGCTTTCAAGATTAGGGATTAAAATGCACGTAAACTCACTGTTTCCAATTAGGCACAAACGGTTTTCCTCTTCTTTCTTCCTCAGCATCATGAGACTTGCTCTGGATGTGGCTAAAATGATATTTTGGCAAATTATCGGACAACATTTCTGACCAGATAACCAATATATTCAGCTTATTAATTTCTGTCATGAGTTAACCCTGATTATCATGCCCACAAAAAGACTTCTATAATGCCCCTTTTCCAGAGCACACCATACCTTTCACAGTGTAAACTTTTCCTGCACTCCCAGCAGTTCCCAGCTTGGGGACTTAATGTAGGACATGCAGCAGAAGACAGATATAAAAAAAACAAAAAGCCGGAACATACACAAGCCCAGATGTCTTGCAATGAAAATATAGGTTTCCATGGCAGGCAACCTCCAAACGACATGCAAGACAATACATCAAATCTCAGGCATGAATACTGCAAGATCTTTTTCCCATTCTCACCGCATTTTTATGACTCCTCTCACCATATATCTTAAGTATTAGGGGTTTTTTCCCAGTTCAAAGGTATGTGGCTTATACAGTCCAACTTTCTCTAGAGAAGGTCACCATATTTCAAAGGCATGGGTTTTTAAAGGTGCATAGAAACCTTCCTTAAGGAAACTGTCTGCCAGATTCTGCCTTACAACTAAAGCTGAATTCCAATGGATGTGCAGTCATGATCCCGGTAGAGCCAAGGAGACTTCTGCAACTCATCATCAAGTTTCAGTCCTTTGTACATCACAATTACCCTTTCCAGTAGATTGTTTTAAAGCTGTTTTGAAGTAAACTATAAGGTATGTTACTGCTTTTCTTTCTTGAACGCCTGATCAGACTGGCTGGGAAGAAGGAAGTGGTGTACAGTTTTGTTCCTCTTAATTTTGTTAATAGTCTTGTGCTGCAACTTGTCTCAATGCTTTGTGACTAGTGCTGGTCTTTTCTCTTTTTTTTTTCCCACTGACATGCTCTTGCCAAGGATATCATTATGACATTCTGTAGTAACAAGCATTCTTCTGTTCAAATTTATATCAATTAGTTTGGGACAGTAATTCAATCGGACGGCCCACTGGATTTTGAAAGACTTGCAATGATGTCAAAGTGGCGACCTTTTTCCTCCACTCTCAGCCAAAAGCCATTTTTTAACAAGGAGCTCTTGAAAAGAAATGCCACTTTGATAATTAGTTATTGATCACGGACAATGCGGCGACAAATACCATCGGATTAGCCAGACGCCAGTGGGTCGAGACACGAGGGTTTCCTTATCGCAATAATCTATGAAGAGAAATATAGAATAAAGGTCATTAAGGCTTCTGTTTTGGGAACATAACCCAGATAATTTCGCTTCCTTATTAAAAAGAAAAATACCAAAATGTTCTGGATGCACTTAGGTTGGAATGAACCTGTTGAAACAGCTTCCAGCTAAAAAAAGTTCAGGAAGTTTCACTCTTGAGGCAATTACACTTAAAATATTTTGATAAATTAACCCTGCTTTGGCCAGCAGTCTTACCTCACTAAAACACCATTAATCTTTCCTACTCTATAATGTCCATTAGAAACTATTTTGGATCTGTGCATAAAAACACCATAACAATTATAGATCTTAAAAATAATGGACCTTTTTTTTCATCTAATTTAGAAAGCACTTCAAGGCCAGCCTAAAATTGCTTCATATAAGTTATTTAATGGAGGAAAAAAATGGCAAAGAACAATTTTATAGCACTAAAAAGAGCAGAAAAGAGGAAGGAATCCATTAGTTTTAGGGTTTATTTCAAGAATATTAATGAAATGTAGCTTTTCTGAAATGTGCAAGAATATACAACTACCTGTGCCGTAATTTTAGCTGACTTGAGAGATTAGGTAAGTACCGAAGTAATACAACTATTTTTGAGGCATGCGGGGTGATGTTAGAGTCCCATTCTAATAGAAGCCTTATAACACCATAAACATACGTGATTGGACTACCTACTACTTTACATTAATAAATATATTACAGATCATAATATATTACAGATCATAATTCAGCCCAGGGCTTTGTAACATTATAGGCTTGCCTAAAGTAGTTGTAATTTCAGTGTACCAATGAGATTTAAAAAAACCAACATAGTCAGGGAAATGAAAGTCCAGATTGACTGACCTATGAAATGTCACATAGGACATCAGAAGCCTGCAGTCTAAAAATCAAACCCAGATTCCTTTGTTTCTCATCAGGAAAATGGTTTTCTTATAAACTGATGACTAATGGCACTTAAAGCAGTATGAGTAGTCTGATGCCTGTCAACATTCCCCAAATTAAATTGATATTATAGCCACTTACTATTGGATAACTCATGTCTGTCTCAGCACACAAAATAATGATAAAATGGATACCAAGACAAGATGAACCTCTCAGACCTTAAAGTTTTTCACATAGGTTTGGTGTCATGTTGATGGGGAAGCGTGACGTACCCTTTTCATTTGTAATAAGCATCCATTCATTCCAGGGAAAAAGAGCCCCACGTTATTTGACCGATGAACCTGTCACGAACACAATATTAATGTATTTTTGTGTTTAATAATATTTAGCAAAGTTCATTATTAATTCAGTGCCATTGTGTTGTTTTTATTAAATTACTATTATTTAAATTTATAGCAAATTAGCTTTCCAAAGAGCTTCCAAATATTCATTTTTAATACTGGAGTGTGTATGAAAACATTCTAACAATGTACGCAAGGTAACAATTAGAACAGTTCCTCATTAGCTTCATAAAGGTAATCAGTTCTAACTTCGTGATCTGAAGGTTAGTTCATTTTATTGCTGTGGCTGCATGAAATACAGTCTTAAGGAGGAAACGACAGCGTCATTGAAGCTCAGGGAACTGCGTGCCCACAACAAGGGTAATGTGATACAGAAGTTTTGCTCTTGGCGAATAAGGATAATTCTGCAAGTTGGATGTTTCTTGACCCTTTTTCTGCCATTATCTTGGGGACTTTGGCAGTATAATTAATTTTTAGGTGTCTTTGCTGCCTGTCTATTGTGAACTAGTATTTTATGGTTCAGATTAAGAACATTAAAAGTAATTGCAACACTGTTCTGAGCTGTTAAGAGAGAAACCTGAAGAACTCCATCTGACAGCATGCAGATGATCTGGTCTTCCTGGTTTTCCTTTTGTAAGCAGGAAATAGTATCTCATTATTTAGGTAACCAGTACCACCCCCTTTTTCAATATACAGATAAACACGTTGTACACATAATACTAATTATGCCTTACTTAACCACTATAACTTATGCCTGAAGGTTTTCACTGCATACCATAAAAAAAGACCCACAGAGTACACATACACATGCAGAACCTTTTCTTGTGAGTGTAGAATAAGGAGAACAAACTGTTCCAGTGTAATGCACCTATCCAGGACACATTCCAGATCATCAGTTATTCTCTCCTTTTTAATAGCTGGGCCCTGAACATTTCAGAAACCTCTCCCTTTCCTGACATGCAGACAGGCCATTCAGGCACAGTGGAGCTGACCTCTTCTATTAAGAAAGATCAAAAATGCAGTGGGACATCTGTTCTTCCTGACCACCGGCCACGATCTCTGGAAATCTTCTGAATGGGATAATGGTATTAATACATATATGATCAGCATTAAAATTAAATATAAGATACATCTCTTTACCTGAGCTTACACCTCGCAAACTTGTCTCAGTGCATCATAAGCCAGTACTGCCCTTCAGACCGGTTGTTTGTATAGATACCATGGTGATGGTGTGTGATAAGATACAGTTTATTTTTACAACAAGGCAATAATTCTTTCTTACCTATTTGCCCCAGGGTGTTCCGAGGACTAATCAGTTAGTGTTTGCTCAAATCTGTAAAAAGCCATATAAGTACTAAGTATTATTATTATTATTACCTTATTATGATGTTGACTTTACAACACTGAACTGCAGTACTTTACTTAGGTGCAATATTACCATGGAGTGTTTATATTCCCGTAATGTAAATGTTTCCTTTTGAAGGAGAGTTGAATGCCTTATTATTGCATGTGACCCACAGTATAATTTATTTATATGAGCCAGGAGGCTCTAAAAATACATTCCAGGGACCTTTCCAGTTAGCCTTACACGCTTTTTACACTCTCAGTTTCTCCTGAACAGTGTTCATTGACATGCATTTCCGAAAACCTGTTTGGCCAATCCATACAGCCCTCTAGGGCCCTGCGTTTTGCTGCACCAGTGGGCATGCTGTCATTCCTCTGGCACTGAAATACAGCTGACTGTAAAAGCTGGGCTGCTGTTCTGTTGCCTAATTCACCTGACGTGGAAGCACCCAGCCTGAGAGCAAAGGCTTAACAACCATACAAAGTCAAACCTGCAGTCCTGCGCACTATTAGCACTCACACCAAGTGCCAGCATGCCCCTCACTCCCCCTCGAAAAACCCACAAAGCCACCTGATCTGTCAAGTTGGCTCTTAGTATCCGTATTGCAAGCTGACAGATATTTACTCTCCTCCCCCCAGCCCTTACATCTGGATCAATGGGGACAGGCTTTCCACCCCTCAGAAGATTCACTTACATTAAGTGGCGAGGTGGAAGCAGTGAATGAACAATAGACGGCTGTCAGGCTCGACAGCAGGGCATGGATGTATGAGCGTGGAGCTGACAGCGAGGGCCTCAGAGGGTAAACTGCTTTGCTGGAACTAATTAAACAGATGAAATTATTACATGAATATGCAGATGTTGTTTACATTTTACCATATGGTATTATTTCAGGTAATAACTCGCAGGAGGATCCCTTCCTCTCATCAAGAGGAAATGAGTTGAAAAGGAGGCTCCACGTGTCACCTTTCAGTTGCTAGGCAGACATTGATATGGCAGGCTTCTCTCCAAGTCACAGGGAAACTCTTCTCCTTGTAGCTATACAACACCGGAGAGGATTTGCATTCTCCCTACTCTGCAATGTTGGAAGAGATTATCTTTTATTAAGCGTAAATGTTAGGGTTGCAAATTCTTTTCCGTTAGGCACAGAAGGCATGCACTTTTCCAAATGTTGATTCCCAGTGTGTGCTTTACAGCTGAGATGCTGCCATAGTCCATAGGTAAGAACTGACAGATCTGTCCAAATATGTAAAGGCTGCAAGTATGACATTTCTGCAGAGTCTGACATGTGGCTGTGCTGGTTAGCATTTACTGCTTTGCTAACCTGAAGTGTTGATAACAGAGGCATTCCTTTTCAATAAGTTTCCATTCATCATAGTGAAAAGGTTGCTCTCTGGAATTACAGAGGCACAGGACTACCATAGCCAACAGTATCAAAATCACTCATTATATGATTTAGGATGGGTAGTCAGCTAGAATCTGACATGACAAAATTGCTGTGCAACCTAGGCAAAGATAAAGCCTGAGAACAAACAACACTGTAAACTAAAGGTGTTTACTATGGAGGAATGGTGACAGACCATAGCCAACACAGTGCTGAAGCCGCCTGGTTTAGGAGCTGCTCATTACTAGATAAACGCAGGAAGGACAACTGCAGAAATGTAGCCACTCTTACGCCATCTGCATCCAGTCTCTAATGAAAAACTGTCACAAATCTTGAACAAATAAATATGGTAGTAATTGCCAAAACAGGACTAACAACTCCACTCATGAACAGATCCTTTTGCAGTAATGTCTGCTTCTTAAAGATGAACATGCAACTGTACCATCATTTTACTACTAGATTATTGAAAATTCCCATCCTAAAACAATTCAGTATTAATGTGATACTTCTTTCAGGCTGATTCAGCATTTCATTTCTACAATGACCATTTTCATCCCCTCTAAGGGATCAGTGGCACCTCCTTTTTTATTGGATGCACAAAATGTATTACTCTTTTTATTGCTTCTTCTTAAATGTTCCTATCTGATAAGCAGACTGACCGTATCAATCTTTCCCCAAAAGCTCAAGTACCAGATATGTTTCTGTAGTTCATTGATAGGGGATAATGCCAAGTTACATCACCACTGCTCTGACAGATCGGTTGCACATTGCCACTGATACATTTGGCTTCCAAATATCTTTCTTAGGTACATCATTTTAATAGATTGTTGGGGTCACTGATGACCTATATCATTTAAGACGCAAAGACATGATGTCAGTAGTGTAAAATGTGGTCTTGATCAAGCTATCATACTGTATTTTTGAAATAAGATAACTGTTTTCTCTTTACCACGGTTTCCCCTGTAAAAATCCAACTGAAGAGCCAGTATAACTGCCTCTGGCCATTCAGAGTGCATGAACACGAAAAAACCCCAACCAGGTCTCCTTCACCTAGAGATAGATAGCTTTATACAGAGCCAGTGCTGTAAGTTCAGAAAGGATTTCGTTGACTTTGTCTTCTGACATAAACATTTAGCAGTATAACATATATATCAAAACAAACCAGAGCAGTTCACTTTATATACACTCCCTTTGGAGAGGAGGTGAGAAAACAAACACAGAACAGATGTTAGTCATGCTTAATGTACTACTGGAGGGTACTCAGATACTAAGGTGATGAATATGGTAAAAGACATGAGTATTCCTTTCTGCGACTGCTATTCCTAACTGACAAAAAAGCAATGAGAAGTGCTTCATTCCTCTGCTTATCAGTGCACCATGTAACAACCAGACACTGAAGATAAACACGCTGGGTTTTCCTCAGGAAACTAGCACACACAACAAACGTTGCTACTAATTACTGACACCCACCTTTCCCTCTTTGTTTGGTATTGCTGAATGTTGGCTTTGATCACTCAAAAAACCACATTCCTCCACAATAAGTTAAATCACTGCAGCAGTTAGGAAAAGTTTCTGTAAGTTCCTATAGATTATCTTGTCAAAGTCTTTGCCTTTCTTGTTTTATTCATAATGTTACATATTATATTACACAAAGAAGTCTTGTTTCAGAAAACTATTAATTTTTCACTAGAAATGATTCCTCTGGGTTGCAGGTTGAAGCCATGGGTTTTGTTGGGCACACATTTGTCTCATCCCTGCCTTAGACCTGCCACTGTGCACTTTTGTATAACCACAACCACGTCTTTCCTGCTAACAAAGACACTCGGTTGTGGAGCAGTTCTCATCTCTCATTATACAGCTTATTGTCTGCCCACGATGTATATTATGTTTCCTGGTCATACTGAAAAAGAGCCTAAGGGGAGAAAGGCAACAGCATGGCAATAAATTCAAGAACTTCAGTATCAGGATAAGAGAAGAACTTGCTGCGAGTGATCAGAAGTGTGGACAAGGGAACAAATGAAACCAGAAGTGCTACAACAAAAGCTGAGAACGTCCTGTTGTTGGCATCACGGGAGGTGGAGAGCAACTGCACACAGATCACTGAGCAGGCACTGCCTAAGGCTGTTACTGCTGAGCAGAAGTCATGATACAGCTATTATTAATAATAGTATAATGGTGCTCAGAGGTCTCTTGATGGTGTCAGAAGCAGCAAATGAGACACCAGATGAGGCCTGAAGAATAAGGTCCTGCCTTACGCCTTTCCGTCTTTTCTCATTTACCTCTATCAGGCAGGCTTTCTACAAGTCTGTATAACTTCAAAGCTCTGTACACTGTATAATCTGAACACAGATTTATAGAAGTAAATGCAAGAACATAAGTATATATATCTAATTTCCTTAAAAATCACTTTTTTTTTTTCTTCTATTTACTATTAAAGTGAATCACTACCAGTTATTCACTGGACTTTTTTTTTCCTCACTCGCTAACTTGTCTAAAATTCCTCATCTCAGTCTTCTGGACATCATCCTGTTGTTTTAGTATTATTGTACCGATCTCCTCGGCTCACTGTCTGGGTATTGTGAACTCATGTGGAGACAACTGTGACTTCTTTATGCTTGGAAAATGTCCAGCGCATTAGTGGTACTGAAAAAAAATAGCCAGTAGGTAAACTTTGTTTTCATTTCTTCTCATTCATCTTTTGTTCTTCCAAGGAATCAAATCCACTTGGCAGGCACTGACGGCGTAAGATAACTTACTAATGCTGTAAGACATACAATTAAAATTAGCATGTTCATCAAACATGCATGTGATTTATCACACAGAGCTGAGTTAACTGCAGCTTCTTACCTCCACTAGAAAGTCCCAACGAGCAAAGGGCAGCAGAATATCCATTTGTTTTCCTCATAGCAGATTCTGTTTCAGAGTTTCATACTTTAGCATTTTGCCACCTGAGGTTTAAACTTCCCCTAGTGCATGCAAAATGAAGTAAATCAAGTCATAACAAAGACAGGTCTGGCCTGAAGTCTCTTGGATGAAGGCCCAAACCTAAGAAAACTGCATTCACACTAAAGAGATATAAAGGAACTGATGTGTGTTCCTGACATGGAAAAGCCACAACTGCGTAATGTTTCACTTGTCCAAACTTCATGCTGATCCACGTTTAAGAGAAAACATTAATGCCAGATCTGGAGCTGTGTTGGTTTCCATTACAGTATTTCACTATAATAAACATGATATATCAAGTAGGGTGGGTTGAGGTTTTTTTCTATGAATGTTATATTGTGTTGATATCTAGGGAGGAAGACAGATACTTTGAGCATTATGTATTATGTAGAAGTATTTTCAGGTTGTGCTAAATTGACAAAGCAAAACAGAAATCTGCAAAAAATTCCCATTGCTTTAAATACCCTTCTCAAAATTTCCAAGTCTTTTCACAGTTACATTTTGTCTTTCCATCAAGTGAAACCATCTCAGATTCCTAGAACACAGCAAGGAGATATTTCTTACGCTATATGGGTCGGAGAGAGAGTTTCGGATATGAAGCATCAACAAATAGTCCAGAAATTACAGAGAAATTAAAGAGAAAATGAATTTAGAAGTATTTTGGTTTAGAGGAAGATTTGAGGACCAGCTTCTGTTTGAAAGCCTATAAATTGTGTCATTCCCATCCTAAAAAGAATTCAGGCACACATGATCCTACTGAAGCTCAGCCAAGGAACCTACCCACACGCAGCTCAGAACAGCACCAGGGCTCTTGTTTTGTAGAATTCAGTCCTGAAAGCAGCTAGGAGCCAGATGTCAGGGTTGTAGGCACCACCAGCTCATCTGCCGACAGACATAGTCAGCAGCTGTATAAAACCTGCTTTCCAAAAACACAGTGACGTGGACTCAGATAAATGCCTTATGACTGCTTAATACTTTGTGTTTCCAAATAACATGAGCTTACAGCTGTACCCTATGTTTCCTTATGGGGTAGAATACTGTTGAAAAGTGAAATAAAAGTGTAGGAGGGGAAGGGGTTCCTTACTTTACTGCCCTGCAGTATCATTCTTGCTGTTCTTTCTCTAAACTGAAACTCTTCTTGTAGAGGTTACCACAAACTCTCTACCGAGAAGGCAATCCACATACAGTCCTCTCTACCTGAATAGTTGCTATGTCTGTCTGACTCTGACAAATTTTCATTAAAGTTATTCTAGGAATAGCCTAGAGGGACTCAAGAACAGCAGACAGTCCTAATCTGAACAAGGCAGGAGAGAAGAGGGAACAGTCTGTCCAGCAGCCGTAACCTATGATATGCTCAAGGGAAGCACTCTATGCAGCCCAGCTAGAGTTCAGGAAACAGGCACTAAAATTCCTTTAGACCCATCCCCAGTATTTCTGTGGCTCACATCATTTGGTTTTTTCATCTGAGGTTTGCTTGTCTAGAAAAACTAAATC